AGATTAAAACTTTATTCTGATGTCCAAGGACTCAATGCCAAGTAAATTATAGCTAAACAATAGAAGATTCCTAATAGTAGTTGGATTATGAATTTCTCTGTCTTTGAATTTATGGATTATCTTTTGTTGCCTATTAATAATGGAAACAAATTTGTATATTGGAAGAAAACAATGAATTTGGGATTACTGAACTGATGCATCAGGTCTAAGGCAATACGTGGGGTGTTCACCATCCTCTTCCCCCTTCCTCCTCCTCACTACTAGCCTATTGATAAAGTCTAGTTAGTCATCCAGCATTCAGATGACCACTTGAGGTTGTTATTTAGTTTCCCCACCGAGGTGGCTCATATCTCTTAGAATTCCAGCCAGTTGATTGGATATTGTTAATTTGAAGGGGAAAATAGACTGGGAGGGAGCTTCAAAATTCCACTTCTATGTTTTTGTGGGAAGAGCAATCATGAGGAATCGTTACTAAATGCCTTGTCTAGCAACTGACCAGGATTGGCATCAGGATAAACTACTGGATAATAAGGAAGTTAAAAAAAAAAGAGTCAGCTTGGTCTGTTGGTTAAGGCACCAGACTAGAAAGCAGGAGATTTTGAGTTTCTAGTTCCATTTTAGGCACAAAAGCCAGCTGGTTGACTTTGGGCCAATCACCAGGAGATGGTAAGTTCTAGTCTTGCCTTTAGGCATGAAAGCCAGCTGGGTGACCTTGGGCCAATCACCAGGAGATGGTGAGTTCTAGTCTTGCCTTTAGGAATGAAAGCCAGCTAGGTAACTTTGGGCCAATCATCAGGAGATGGTGAGTTCTAGTCTTGTCTTTAGGCATGAAAGCCGGCTGGGTGATCTTGGGCCAATCACCAGGAGATGGTGAGTTCTAGTCTTGCCTTTAGGCATGAAAGCTGGCTAAATGACTTTGGGCCAATCACCAGGAGACGGTGAGTTCTAGTCCTGTCTTTAGGCATGAAAGCCAGCTGGGTGATCTTGGGCCAGCCACTCTCTCTCAGTCCAACCAACCCCACAGGGTGATAATTCTGGGGAAACGAGGCAGAGGAAGGCAGCTAGGTTCCCTGCCTTGAGTTATTTGTAAAAGTAATAAAGACAGTATACAAATTAATGAAATAAGTTGTTACAGTAAAAATACAAATACTAAAGCCAGAAAGAAAATGTTAGTCCTGCAGATTTCTTTCCCCATCTTCCCCATGGATCCTTTCTCATTAAATGAGACTTGATTTCCCCCACCTTCTTTAATGAGATGATGTCAGCAGGCCTTCTCTGCTAGCAGCAGCAGGCAATCCAATTCTGCTGACATTGCTCTAAACTGCCAAAAGATGCTGCTGAACAAATAAAGAGTAGCTCTAAAATTTTGGCTGCGGCTTGAAAAATCAGCTTAGAAACCAATTTTATCTTGCTATACTGAGGGCACATTAATAACACTATCTGTATTTAACATTTTGCTCTGCAGGTCCCAGGTTCAAAGTGTGAAGGTGGGAAAGCACAGATACTTCTGTGACAGACAGACAGACAGACAGACAGACAGAGATAGATAGATAGATAGATAGATAGATAGATAGATAGATAGATAGATAGATAGATAGATAGGTGGGTGGGTGGGTGGGTGGGTGGGTGGGTGGGCGGGCGGGCAGGCAGGCAGGCAGGCAGACAGACAGACAGATATGCACATTTTGTGCAAGAAAGAAAGAAATGAGGTGAAATGCAGTTAAAAATCAACTTAGTTCATTTAACTTCTATAACTGTGTGTTATTTCTGGTTGTTTTTATTTACCTGACTAGGTGGTACACTAGATAACGTCAATGAAGATGACCAGAGTAGAATTACCTAGTGGTAATAATAATAATAATAATAATAATAATAATAATAATAATAATAATAATAATAAGAAGAAGAAGAAGAAGAAGAAGAAGAAGAAGAAGAAGAAGAAGAAGAAGAAGAAGAAGAAGAAGAAGAAGAAGAAGGTGGGAGACCTTGGAGATCTTCTAGTCCAACCCTCTGCTCAGGCAGGAAACCCTACACCATTTCGGACAAATGGCTGTCCAGTCTCTTCTTAAAGACTTCCAGTGTTGGAGCATTTACCGCTTCTGGAGGCAGGTTGTTCCACTGGTTAATTGTTCTCACTGTCAGGAAGTTTCTCCTTAGTTCTAGGTTGCTTCTCTCCTTGATTAGTTTCCACCCGTTAAGCCAAAATATCAAATGCAGTTGCGGCTTCTTTTCTGGGGGGGGGGGAGTCCCAGAGCTCTATTTCTTCTTCTTCTTTTCCTTTCCCTGGACCACTGAACGTGTGCAACTTTTCAACTTGAGAGAATTAGATTTAGGAAATACAAGACATCTCTCGAGAATCTCTGAAGGTCACGATTAGCGATCGCATCTCTCCTCTCTCCTTAATTCCTTTCCTTACAGGGGAATGAATAATTGATAATAATGAATTATTCCTCTCAGCCAAGCTACGGTTTTCATTTAGACAATGGAAAGGGCATCAGGTTTAGTTATTTATTTATTAATTAATTAATCACACTGATGTGGCTGCCCAGCTCACACGAAACGACTCTTGGGGTTTTTCTTTCGGGGAAATGCTTCCATCAGCTATGAAAGGGTTCAGTTGCAGCCCTTACTCCTTCTCTAAAGCTTAAGCCTGGCGGTTTATAGACGCTAGAAAAACCGACTAATAAAATATAATGATTGAGAAAGGGATGTGGTGATAACTGATGCTTATTCTTTGTCTTAATTTAATAATAATAAAATTGGAAGGGACCTTGGAGGTCTTCTACTCCAATCCCCTGCTCAGGCAGGAAACCCTATACCATTTCGGACAAACAGCTGTCCAGTCTCTTCTTAAAAACCTCCAGTGTTGGAGCATTCACCGCTTCTGGAGGCAGGTTGTTCCACTGGTTAATTTTTCTGACTGTCAGGAAGTTTCTCCTTAGTTCTAGGTTGCTTCTCTCCTTGATTAGTTTCTATCTGTTACTTCTTGTTCTGCCTTCAAGGGCTTTGGAGAATAGCTTGGCTCCCTCTTCTTTGGGACAGCCCCTGAGATATTGTGAAACTGCTATCATGTCCCCCCCCTCGTCCTTCTCTTCATTAGACTAGACAAACCCAATTTCTGAAGGCAACCTGTTCCACTGGATAATTGTTCTCATTCTTAGAAAGTTTCTCCTTAGTTCCAGATTGCTTCTCTCCTTGATTAGTTTCCATCCGTTGCTTCTTGTCCAGGCACTTTGGAGAATAGCCTGACTCCCTCTTCTTTGGGGCAGCCCCTGAGATATTTGCAGTTGAAGAATAGCTGAAACACCTGTAAGACTTTAAAGAAGCTCCAGATGGTTGTAAAATTAGCAAAACATCTCAAATATCTAGTACCAAAACAGGAAAGATATGGAAGGGAGGATGTACGGTTGTCATATCTCATACAGGCATACAACCGTCATAAGTTAAAACCAAACACACCATATTGCATACTTGGGAATGTCATCAACCACCAATCAAGTTGCCTAACCAGGGCTTTTTTTCTCATAGAACGCCCAGAACAGAGTGCTGGCACCTTTTTTGGATGGAACCTTGTAGGATAGGCAAGGCAGGTTGTGTGACATGTGTGAGTTCCAGCACCTTTTTTTTTTTTTAAAAAAAAAATCACTGTGCCTAACTAATAAATAGATTTGCAGGTGTTTCTCCGTGCCTATGGCTGACAAGTAGACTCTAAGCCTAGGGTTTATCTGAAACAGCCCTAAGCCATGCCTTCTTTGTAACTTTACATGTAGTCAGCAGAAACTTTTCTAATTTTTTTTCAACCGAGAGAAAAATCTTGTGTCCATAGAAAGACCTCAGCCTATTATAATTATTTCCAAGTTACCTTCAGTTGATCCACAGATACTCTGGAGCAAGCACTGCTTAATCCAATCATATGTCTACCCATTATAAAAAGGTGCAAGGCTGACCTGTACAGCTCTAAACAAGTTTTAAAGAATCACCTCTTTCCAAAAAATAAAGGGAGAGATAAAGGGAGCAGGAGAGGAGGAGAAATAGCACATATCCTGTGGTCTTTGGTGCATGAATCGAAATTACCCCTAAAATTAGCCTTCTCCATGTTCTGATGAAAAAATATAATATTTCCTGCAGTTGCGACAAATACGAATTGTTCATCATGTTGAGAGATCAATGGCAGTCATGATTCCCCCCCCCCCGCATTAAATTAGAAGTAGCACACTCAAGTCTGAATCTCTTTTAAAAATGTCAACTTGAAAACGGTGTGGCTTGACTGAATTTGAATCTCAGAGTTTGGGCAGATTAAAGATTTTTATTAAGGCAATAAACCAAGTTCATTAAGATTTGGCCGAACCTTTTTTTTTTAAAAAAACCATCCCTGTCTCTGTGAAAACCCACCATGCAGTAAGGAACATCACTAAAACCAGAGCAAAGTACTGTTCAATGAATTATTTCCTAATCAGATTCAGAGAGGGTCGATTGTTCTTGTGCCAAGCCTGTATTGGTTCTCTGGTTCTGAAGGAACTTATCCTTTGCTCCACTACAAACTTCAAATCACAGTGATTCATCCTTCAAACAAACAAAGCCTTACTCAGCCACTTCTGAACATTCACTCCAGCCTACATACAATTTGTGGGACAAGGGAGAGAGAGTGCATCCGTAAGCACAATTCTCCTGCAATCCAGCGCTTCAAGTAGATCAAATTAAATCTAATCAAATCTGGATTCCTCGGTCAGTCCTTATATAAAACGGAGAATTCCAGTCTCGGTCTCATCATGATTTCTTTCTAAGCTGGACTGCCCTCCCTTCCTCCCCAAAGTCCAAAAGTCTGTGAGGGCAACTTAAGTCCCTGCCACACAGTTGTTCAATGGAGGGGTTTGCCCACCTGTCCAAAACGCCACGCACAGGTGAGCAGTCCTGAGCAGGCAGGAGAAGCAGCAGCCTTCCCTTAAGAAACAATTGGAGGGGGGGGGGAGGGAGAAAAAAAAACAATAAGAGTTACCAACCTATCACAACTTGTTCATTCCAGCAGTGCCAATACAGCCACCCTCCCCTGCGATGCGTCCACGCGAGGTGCGGTCTCCGAGCATCCTTGCTTAGCGGCTCTGAAATTTCTCCGGCTGCTGCTTCCTAAACCCTGGAGGACCAATGAGAGATTCGTCTCTGCTCTGATCACCCGTCTGAGGGCTGGGGGGGGGGGAATGGCCTCTGGGTTCCCCCCAGCATCTGTGCTTCCCCCAGTTCTTAAATCATCGCAGGGCAGTGTTTCTGCTGCAATATTTGGATGACTTGCTGCATTGGCTTTCACTCCGCCTGTGCTTGAGAACTACACCTGCTTGTTCCAGCCAGAAGGCTCCCCTCCCTCCTTCCCTTCTCCTACAACACAATTTGAGCATCTGCGGCACCCCGAGAATCACCAGAATCACCGGGGCTAGTATTGTCTCTGGATCTCTTCTGCCTGCAGTCCTTCCTTTGCCCTAGATGCTGACTCTGGGGTTTGCAAAGGGAAGCCCCCCACCAGCCGTGGCTTGAATAGTCCTGTTAAAGAGAGTGGATGAGTCTTTTTTTCCTTGATTTGGCACCTGTCCACCGACACGGTTCCTGAAGCGCTAGAAAAACCCTCGAGCTTGACTTGAAATTGCACATTACTTCCTCTTCGCCTTCCTGTAATCTGCAGGCAGCCATAATGGGAAAAGAGAAGAGTTTTATCCCTTTGGACTCAGAGAAAGGAAAAGAGGCAATCAACTTGGCTTCTTGTCAGCCTGGTGGGGGGGGGGAAGACATACCAGCATTGAGGAGGAGTCTCAAAAGAATGAAAAGAACAATCCCTGCCAGAGGCCCATAGGAGAGAGTCTGGGATGCCCTTGTTAAAAAAAAAAAAAAAAATGCACTGGGACGGGGTCACTCGTATTTTCAAAGACAAATAGTTGAGTAACTGCGTGTATATTTACGTTGCAAACCAGTGGAGTCCATTTATATTTAAATTTAGTTGATAATATGAACTATTAACTTAGAAATCTATTAGATGGGACCGTGGTTGATCAGCATATTTTAATTCATGCAGTTGGGAGTGGGGAGGGGGTTACCATCATGGATCTGCATAGTATACATAATTATAATGTGTGTCTGTGAGTGTGTGCCCGTACAGGCATATGTACACACACGCATCTGCAATTAATATATGCACAAAAATGCTCGCCTATGTATAACTCCATGTGTGCATGTTTGTATATACACGCATGTACACACAAACACTGATGAAATTAGGTTTAACAGAACTCAGTCTTTATCAAGCAAAATTTTATTTCCTCATCTAAACATTCGCCATGTATGACATGCTGCCCTAGGAAAAGACCTCATTTAAAGGTGAGCATAAGCCACAAGAGAAGCTGCAGTCACTGCGGATTCATGGCTCAAGTATTAGATTGACACCAGGAGACCTTGGACTGCAAGTCAGCTTCTACTTGATCTCTGAAGGGCAATTATCCCATCAAACTGTTTAAGGTTTAAACTATTATTTAAGGCAGGATTTGGGCTAGTCTAGAGAAAAGAAGGACTAGGAGTGACAGGATAGCAGTATTCCAATATTTGAGGGCCTGCCACAAAGAAGAAGTGGGGTCAACTTATTCTATTCTATTCTATTCTATTCTATTCTATTCTATTCTATTCTATTCTATTCTATTCCCCGTTCCATATTCTATTCTATTCTATTCTATTCTATTCTATTCTATTCTATTCTATTCTATTCTATTCTATTCTATTCTATTCTATTCTATTCTATATCCTATTGCTTAATCTTCTATTCTATTCTATTCTATTCTATTCTATTCTATTCTATTCTATTCTACTCTACTCTACTTTGTTCTACTCTACTCTACTCTATTATTCTATTCTATTCTATTCTATTCTATTTTCTATTCTATTTTCTATTCTATTCTATTCTATTCTATTCTATTCTATTCTATTCTATTCTATTCCATTCCATTCCATTCCATTCTTTTCCAATTCTTATTCTATTCTATTCTATTCTCTTGTGCCACAATGTGCTCTAACCTGCCTTTTCTTCTTAACATCTAAATTGCAATGCGACTTTAATTGGCAATAATGACCTAAGGTAACCACAAATCACCATCCAGGTGAAGCAGTAGGCTTAGCTATGGAATAAGCAGGACTTCTCCTCTGGCTGAACTGAAAAACCTACTGAAATAATAAAGGAGAGTTAATTATGTTCCAGGTCTGGATTCTAAGAGACGCACTTGGCTCCCCATCATTCTTGAATGGGGGAAAAACTGCTTTGCTGTCTCATCTCTTTCTCCCTCTTTCCTTCTTTCTCTGCAAGTGGCCTCAGTGGTGCCACTTCAGTTGGTCAAGTATTGGTTAAGAAACACTCCCCAATAATAATGGTAGTTCCAGGGGTTGTGTTTGTGTGTTGCATCAGCATGAAACAAGATTCTCCCAAGGGATGGAAACTATCTCTTCTAGAGTCAGGAGAGATACAACAACTTTAAGGTGACAGGTGAGGATCTTGAGGACTTGATGATGAGACTATCCGTCTCCAGTACTGGATTTATAGTATTTATCAACCGCAAAATTCTTAGATCAGTCAGTATCATGTAGACTGTGCCGGCTGCATTATCAGCAGGAAATAATCAGGTTATAATGTTTTTATGTGGATGATAGTTCAAGGTTATCTAGACTGAGCTGCGGAAAATCTCCACCTCCCTTAGAAAAGAGCTTTGTGGCTGTGATTTTGCCTAGCAATTGATTCAATTTGTAGAGAAACAAAGGAAATGCTGTGTATTGCAAACAGACTTCTTTTTAAAGCTTGCCCTGATACTTTGTAGCTACTGTTGACCATTGAGTAGCTGGTTTTATGGGGTGTTTGTTGTTTAAAGAAGCAGATAGATAGTAGCAGAAAGCGTAGTGCATCTACAAGACTTTCTCACTCTTATTTAATCATTTAAAGGGTAAGGATGGGCTCTGCACTAAGTTTGACATCATTGCTTTTTTTTATTATTATTATTAAATGCATTGGAGATTCGCTTTCCCCGCGTACACACCACCACACAAGCTGAAGGGAATCCCTGAGTGGTCAGAGAGAGAAAAAGAAAGAGAGACCTATTTGGGATTCCGCTTCTCTCCTCCGTGGCGCGCTCCTCCCGTTACCTGGGCCTCGGTCCGCGGCACTCCAAGAGATGGAGAGCGCGGTCCACCAGTCAGGGCAAAGTGAGGGCAGCCGGCTTCACTCGCCCACTGCCCATGTGCAGCCCTTTGGCACATGCTCACTTCGCTGGGGGGGGGGGATGCTGAGCATGAGCAGAAGCGAAATTGGAAAGGAGAAGAAAAAAAAAGGGGGGGGGGAATTAATCAGATCAGACATCTTGAGCCGCTGCGCGTTAAGAGCTTAGAGCGCGGCGTGCCGGGCGCCCCTGCGCCGACGCCTCCCTTTGTGTGTTGACGCAGGTGGGAAGGCATTTCCCCGCGGGCTTCGTGGGCCCGGTCTCCGTCTTCCCGGGTTGCCTGGAGCATCACTGCCTCCCCGTCGCCCCCCCGCCCAGCTTGCATTCCTCTTAATTCTTCCCGAGACAAGATGGCAACACCGGCGGCTGTTAATCCACCCGGTGAGTAGCTGCAGCTGGTTGCAAGTGCGCAGCGTCTTGCAAACTGGAAAGGTCCGGTGGAAGCGGCCGGGACGCCTTACCCACATTCTCCCTCCCCATTCCTCCCCCCCACACACACACACATTCCCGCCCCAAGCGGGCTGCCTTTGGGAAAATCTCTCTGGACCCGTCAGCAAGCGCTCGCCCCCTCTGGGGTGAGGTCCATGGTGAGGTCCAGGCTTTCCAAGCTCCGTCGGGAATAAGCAGGTCTCGGTAGATTCCGTGGCTTCTTATCTATTACACGACGCGCGTCCCCGGGGTTACTGGACCTCGGGTGCTCAGCGGAGGCAGCGCGTCGCGATCAGCTAACCCCACGGGTTGGTCTCGCGCAAGGCGCCCTGATGCAATCGGGAGGCTGGTGGGTCAGTAGGAGCGTGGCCAGAGGGAGCCCCCCGGATTCCTATATTCCACCCCGAAGGAGCACCTCTATGGCGCGCAGAGATGGGGGGTCAGAGCAAGCCACCTGTTCCCCAAAAGATGGCTTGGCTCCCCTTTGCCTTTGCGATTGACTTCGCTTTGCATGAGGTTGACCCTTGTTCTGGAGATGGTTAGCGTTTCTGAGGCTATGTGAGAGGCCAAGTCTGAGTTTGAGGATTTCCTCTTAGGATGAAAAACAATTCTGGTTTTTTGTTTTTTGTTTTGTTTTTGATCCAAGCAGATCAGCAAGACAGGATGTTGGCTTTTTTAAAAAAAAAATCTGGGCATAGATGTTAACCCTTGCAGTGGCTCAAGAGGGAAGCATTAGGGATACCCCCAATGTTATAGGAAGCACCAAATTTATCCAATGCAAGGTTGGCATTATGTATAAAAATATTTGTGAGTAGCCGGTAGTGGTCTTCTTGCAGCTTTAGGGATGCTTGTAAATAGTTAGACATGGCATTTCAACATTGGTAAGCCTTGGGAAAACTGGCCTTTGGGGATTGCATTTTGGAGTGTTCCCCAAAACTTTCCACTGTCTTTTAATGGAAAAAAAAGTCACAGCTTTCTCTTGTCTCTTAGGGAACCAAAGTTAATTCTACTAGGACTTAACTTTAAATTGATCAGATATTTGGAATAGTGCCCAGTCAGCTCTATGAAGCATCCCCAAATGACAAGGAACTAGAGAACTTGCAATTTAAAACATCTCAAAGATGCCAGATTGCTGAGTGCAGCTTTAAACTGTTAGTTCGTGGTTCTTAACTTGGGATTTCAGATTTGGAAGAACTTGGATGAGAAAAAAAATGACAACTTTATTTTCACTGTTTTATTTTATTTAAATACATTTGCCTGAGATTTCACCAGACACTCAACGGCACAGAAATGTGAAGAACCTCTTCATTAAATTCTTGTGCTTAATAAGTTGGGTTTAAAAGAATTTGGCTAGTTTGTAATTTAGAAACTTAAGTTTTTGTTCATTAGATGGCAGAAAACCATCCCATGTTGGTTTTATTGTTTGTTCTGTTTCATAGATGTAGAACATTGGA